GGACTTCAACTCCCAGAATTCTCCAGCCAGCTGGCTGGAGAATTCTGGGAGTTGAAGTCCACAAGTCTTAAAGTTGCCAAGGTTGGGAACCACTGTGGTAATATATGTGTGTATGTCTGTGTGTGTGTGTGTGTGTGTGTGTGTGTGTGTGTGTGTGTGTGTATGTGTGTGTGTATACATACGTTCATACAAACACACACACACACAAAGAAATAACAATAAAGTTTTAAGAAAAATGCCTACAAATTTTCTGTCAAGAAAAAACACCTCAGCAGGAAAAACGCCTCTAATGTTTGAAAACAAGTAAACGGAGTATTTTAATCATAGTAAATATAACAAAAAGCCAAACAACAGGCAATCACAAAGATCTTAAACTAAAAAATAGAATCAAACTATTTTGAATTTAAATTGTTAGCATTAATTGCCACTCCTCTTATAACAATAAGATAGCTGTGCAATCCCAACATTAGCCTTTATTTAAGCTCAGGATTTTATTGGGTTCAGCAACATACGTATGTTGCACATAATTATCTAAGGTAATGGACCAAGTAGATTCCATTTAATCATAAGATACTAAACTGAAATCCAATGTGTACCATTAAGTTTTCTCTAGGGAGGAGAGGAAGAATCAGATTAAAAGAGATCTGCAGGCTTTTAAGGAGAAACCCAACCCAAGAAGGGCATGTATTCCAGTCATTAGACGAAGCAAGGAAGAAGAGAAAAAGGAAGAAGGACAGAGCATGCAGAATGAAATCACCTGCTGACTGGGGTACGATGGAGAGGAAGTACAAATGGAGGAAGAAGAGAGCATGATCACTTTTTTGGGACAGGTCCGACAACGCTCCTTTTTCCTCATCTTTGTTTTAAAACAACAGGAGGGGAAAACGATAGAAGAAGAAACAATATCATCGGCTTTATTTTGACACCCAGCATAGAAAACGCAACATCTTTTTTTTTTTCTGCAGAGAAAACCAGCATTTTCGTTCAAATACAGACTGCTTAATCTCAAATTGTGTAGCCAAGGAATGCATTTGAGTGCCTTCCCCTATGTTTTGCCTGAGTTGGGACTGAAAAATGCATTGTCCGGAGCAGGGGTCTCCAACCTTGGCAACTTTAAGACTTGTGGATTTCAACTGCCAGAATTCGTCAGCCAGAATTCCCCAAGTCTTAAAGTTGCCAAAGTTGAAGATCCCTGATCTGGAGCAGTGCTCCTTAAATTAAATGTGGATTTTGGCCAATGCAATGTTGCTGGGGATAATGGGAGTGGCACGTGAATATATGGGGAAGGAATCAAAGAGAACAAGTGATTTGAAGGAAATGTTAACCTTGTTTTCTTTCTTAGCTTCGGAGCTCGACCCTCTGCAGAGCAAACTATTAAAAAGGGCTGGATTTTCACTTCACCTGAAAACTTTCACAAATGTTCCTGACAGGTTGCTTCATTTGTCTGAAGGGCCTCAAAAATGTTCAAATATGGAATTCTGTGTCCAGTTTCAAAAGCACCAAACGTCAGTCAAGCAAAATGAACTGCCTGCCCTACTCTATGCAGTGTTGAGCAATTTGCATAAAACAACTCAAGCTATTGTTGTTGTGTAGAAATATACTGCTGTTTCCTATTTTTATATTATTTTCCCAATCCAATAATATTAATTGCAAAACATACCAGAATATACAGGTCATACAACATATATATACCATCAATTTTAAGGTAAAGGTAAAGGTTCCCCTCGCACATAGGTGCTAGTCATTCCCAAGTCTAGGGGGTGGTGCTCAGCTCCGTTTCAAAGACGAAGAGCCAGCGCTGTCCCAGACTAAACACCAAAGGTGCACGGAACACTGTTACCTTCCTACCAAAGGTGGTTCCTATTTTTCTACTTGCATTTTTACATGCTTTGGAACTGCTAGGTTGGCAGAAGATGGGACAAGTAACGGGAACTCACTCCGTTACGTGGTGCTTGGGATTCGAACCGCCGACCTTTCTGATCGGGAAGCTCAGTGTCTTAGCTACTGAGCCACCGGATCGTATCATCAACTTTCCTGCTTGCCTAATGATGACTCATATCATGAGAGACTACATGATGATTGATGACAGACATAAGATTCCACCTGGATTTCTTTCTAGTTCCCCAAAGCTAATACTACACTACACTGTAATAGGACTTGTCCTTTCTACATCTGCACAGGCCTATCTTTCTAACTTCCTGATACTACAGCGACTATGTATTTAGAGATGGAGTCACAGTGTTCCATAGAATGTAAGAGATACTTTGCAAACCACACTACTGGGTGCCCAACTTTTTCATCTTTCGAAAACATACAAACAAGATGTCAGTGTGTCAGTCCATACACAATTGTTCCCCAGCAACTGATAGAACGCCATGACGTTCAACCTCTGAACCCTTGAGCACAATACGAAGTCTTCATGGTCAGTAATGATTAATAACCTTATTCTTCATAACTACCCCTACAATTTGTGCAATCAAATTCACAGTTGCAGTTTATTATTCCAGTTTTGTATTTTCCTACTTTTGGGCCTGGGCTCCACTCTACCATGTCCCAATAAATCCATCTAAAGTATGGATCATTCCATCAAACTTCCAAAAATGTAGAATACACTATTTCCCACTTGGGGAGGGGGAGGGTAGCACTCAGTTCTTGGTTCACAAAAATACAACAATGAAGGGTGTTTCCTGGGTCAACGCATTAAAGGTACAAGGCGATTGTGTATTACAGAATTCACTGTTGGTGTTCTTCTATAATAATCATCTTTTTCCATTTCAGTGTAAAAAGGTCTGATGTTGTTGCCAACATAATCCTTCTCTATCAAATAATAAACACATTTGACTATCTTGACACAATGACCTACCGTCAGAATTCCAATCTGCAAATTTCAAGTTTCAAAACTTTTATTTCCCCTCCACCTCCCCCCACATAATTGTGCTATTAGCATGCAAATGATGAGTAAAGCTGTTAAGTTCAAGATGAAATTGTCTTCAACCACAGAGCAGTCATGTTTATTTCTTCAGAGCTATTGTTAGATTTTTCCCCTGACATGGTAGAAGAGTAGATTTAATCTTTTTAATAATGTCCGTTTTTATAAAAAAAAATAAGAGACTATACTTCTTACTGTGTATACTCATTTTAATAAAATATGTGAAGATGATTAGAACTGGTAGAAAGATGTTGAATCTACTTAATTAAATTTGTTCAAGGTAAAGCATCAAGTGAATAAAAGGCATAAGATTCTTTTGGCCAGATGTTTTTGTGGAATACAATCAAAACACAAAAGGACTAATGTCTCAGACACTCTTAGATCTGACCAAAATGTATATGTGGGATGAATTGTTTCTTGTCTATAAGTTGAAAGAAAATCAAAGAGCTGTTCCATTTACATTTGATGCTGTTTCTCTTGGAGAAAATACCATGTCTCTACATGCTTCAAGCTACTGAGCAAAGAGACGATTGACTTGTTCAATGAGCTTCAGCAAAAGTTCACACTGTAATTTGTAAGACTCTTAAACGGTAATTTGGAAAACTTTGTACCTTTCACTTTCAAAGCCATATATGCTTCATCTTCAAGAAGAAACCATGATATTGACCAGAATGAAGTTCATTAAAAAAAATGCCCTAACTAAAAACTTTGTCTGTAATTACAGCATTCTCCCTGTGTTGGTAGTAATAAAAATGGAAATTTCCATTAAAGATTGCCTCTTTGGGAGGGGGGGGGTTGCATATAGAGGAGAGAGAAGACAAACAGTTCTGTTTGTCAACAACTACCATCTGAATGCAATCGGAAGGAAAAATATAAGGTTAAGATCTTGCAACCATTGTTAGAAAGAAATATCTCCTTTAACAGCTGATTTTGGATAGCTGTGGGATATTTGTTATATTCTTATAGTGCCTTCTCCATTAGCTGGCCACCCAAAGTTCTTCAAATGCTGAAATCTCTTACGATAATTCATCTTGTTCCAGTAACTCATCCTTGATGTGATTTTCATTGATCAAGATAGCATCATACTTTAGCAGGATTGTCTTCGCATATGACAATTGTGAAGATTAAGATCTCAAAGCAATTTCACTTGGGAAGCCAGAATCATACCTTGAGCTTGTTTGGAGGTTCTAGCAGGGGAGCGCAGCTATCGTATACCCTTGACCGAAGATCGGTATACTCCTTCTATCTGGGATGGTCGTCCTCTTCCACCGAGCACGCAGCTTCGGGAGGGAGGCACATGGAGCAGTGAGGGAGGAAGGGGACACCCGCCTAGCCAGCCAGATCAGCCAAATCAACTCTGGCGATCAATGTGACAGATGTCGCAGCCAGATCGCCCTCACATCCAGAATCATACCAATGATACAGTTATATTTCAGACTCCTGCTTTCTCTGGGACTCATCTGAATCTAGGTCAAGAAATTAAATGATCTGCTTCAAAAAAAGCAAAAAACCTTTATGTTTGAGAGTTGTGTGGATCGGCTCCAAGTCCTGTACATAAATTGCTCAGAAGTAAGAAATTAAACTATATAACATAGCAAGCGTTCTACTGTATAAACTTGGTATGTTAAGTTACACAGCAAAAAGAGAGCCATGTTGCAAAACAAATTTAAAAATATTCCTTTCTTGCAGATTAATTCCATGTTTCTTGGCTCTGCACTTAGCACACGATCGGAGTTGGAAATGAAGCATGTCCATCTGGCGCGGTTATGTTCCGCCTGCTATTTTCCACTTCATTTTGCTTTCAAAAGGTTGTGCATAATTTTGGCCAGAATCAAGTAGGATGTCAGGCCTGACATAGGAAATGTACAGGTTTTGACTGAGTGGCTGCTACACAAATTAAAATATGTTGGTAAATAATTACAGGAGCATTTCGTAACCTGATGTCCTGCTGATGGTAACATGTTGAAGGAGGCAATCCATAGGTTGATAATGATGATGGACAATAGCCACTATAAATAAGTAAGCCAACAAGAGATATTCACCAGCAAGAATTTACCAAGACTGAATAGACTCGTCTTCATTTTCATTTGTGTTTTAAGCAGATGCTTAAATATTAGAAGCTCTAGTACTGCTATACATTTCCTTTAAAAGAATCTATATACCTATTGTATGTGAATGCTTAGAATGATTAATGTATTATTAATCCTTACATTAATTTGGTTTTTTTTGCTCATGTTCTGATGGGAAATTGTTCCCTAACCATAAACTCATTTCCTTGAAGAAACTTTATATTGAAAACTTTATATTGAAAACAATACTAGAATAGGAATCAGAAGACAGAAAAGGGCGTGTTTAATTTCTAAAAGATTTCTCCTAATTAAATGAAATAACTTATTTACATTTACACTATAATGAAATCTCTTTGAAAATTCTTAAAGCTGAAAATGACCAGCATCTATTCTAAGTATAGCAAAAATCCAGAATGCCAAATGAAATAAACTTTAAGTATAGCAAAAATCCAGAATGCCAAATGAAATAAACTTTTCTTATCATCTGTAACAGAAACAGAAAGATGCATCTTTGGGTAAATGGCCAGTTCCTCTATGTTAGTGTAAGAGGGACACACAATTGGTATATTTCAAAATGTGTGAAGTATTTCTGCCAGGGCTAATTCTCATATTATCAGGGCTGAGGATTAGATCTCCCTCAAGAAAGTTCCTCATAGATACTAGAATGCACTAATATTAAGTGCTCCCAAGATTCAATTGTAAGTATCTTCAAATCATGACTATATAAACTGATGGGATAGCCATGCTTCCATTTAAATGAAATTTCATTTATTAGATGCTTTCACGGTAGTGATCTCATGACTGCTCAAGGTTTTGTTAATAAGATGTGTTAGAAAGGATCTTTGCTAACTTTTCTGTGCTATCAATTTTACTGGTGACTAGAAACTAGAAACCATATATAAGTCATAACTCTTTAGTAGGCTCAGAGATCTTGAACAGAAAGCAGGCCCTGCATAAAGGAACAGAAGTAGTAGTGTGGGATGGAGAAGCATTAGCCAATGGGTTTGGCAGTGTGACAGTCATTCATTGGGGTTCGTTTTACCTGTTTCCACTGAGGTATTGGGGCATGGCGGCCCTGCTCTCGCTGTCGATAGGCAGGATGGCTGAGAGCACGGTCTTGATAAGGCTGGGCAGATTGTTGCACGCAGGTCGTAACATGCCCAGATGGTGAGCATTTCCACAAAAGGCAAAAAACGGAACTCACAAAGAAACCCACAAAGGGACGGGGTAGAAATTGAACAGGGTGATTCGAAGACAGACATCAAAGAGGGGGGGGGGGAAACGGAGTAAGGAAAAATTAGTTGGCAAAGCAAAAAAATAGAGAAATATTTAAAAATGGAGGAGGGGGGGAAAGGAAGACAGAAAACTTAGCCACGAGGAGGCCATCTGTCTCCTATTATTTGGACAAGTTATTTGAATAGGTTTAGATTGGAATTGAACTATCAGAGGGGGAAAAATTCCTAAAATAATCACAGCACAGATGTTTTAATCCGTTCTTCATGCCAACAGTATCTTTACCAGGGTATCATTTGAAATTCTGGCATTCCATTTGCAGCACATTTGCAAATTGGATACAATGCTCGCTGGGAGAAGATACGTCTCCCGTGGTGCTCAGTCAAGTTAAATAAAACTTATAGGATTCCTGGGTGAAGCCGGTTATTTGAACCACTTTCTCAAGCAGAGAAGCTGGTTATGTATTAATGATTCATTGCAACAGCTACTGAAAAACCGTCTTCTGTATGTTGAACAGATGGCAATTCATCAAAGATTATTTTACAAAGGAATTCCCTGAAGGCTACGTTTAACACCGGGATGAGCACAGAACGGGGGCTGGTGGTGCTCTCAAGCAGTAGCTTTCATGACCTGGGAACCTGATCAGGCCTCTAACCCCCCCCACCCCCCACCCCCAAATTGTTTCTAGACACTGAGCAAAGACATGGCAACTTGCCAGCACGTCTCCATATTCCAGCACTGCTCTTCGACAGATTGGCATAAAACCCCAGCAGGATTTTAAAAAGAGCTTCTTTATTCCTAGAATGCAAGTGCAGCTTTTATAACTTATTTGGCTACAGAGGGAGGTTCATTGCCCTCCATTCAAATTCAAATGCCTCTCCAAGGCAAGAAGATCCATCGTTTATTCACTAAAGCCCCAAATGCATCCAATACCGGGTCCCTTCTCACCTGTCTCCGGAGACCCGTGGACTGTACAGGAGCGTTCTCCTCAAATTTGGCTAGCAGCTGTGTTGCCATAGACTTCACTTTATTCTGGTTCCCGATGGCGGCATCAATCCTTCTCTCGGTCAGGGCACTTACAAGGGTGGGCCTGTCTTCACGACAGCTTCTGGAAGTGTCCTCCTACAAAATCAGTGTCAAGAACGGATTAAGAGGTTCCTTTCGGGTGCGCTTGAAAATCCCTCTACCCAATTCAAGATCTGAGCATCATTGTGAGTCCTGAAGCATGTTCTCATTCTTGCCAGTTTAGCTTTGCTCACGTCCAAGTTCAAAGTAGCCTAATCTTACCATCAAATTTTTTAAAAAAGAGAAGGCATAGGCCAGGGGTGTCAAACTCGATTTCATTGAGGGCCGCATCAGGATTGACCTCAGGCGGCTGGAGTGGACATGGCCAGGGTGGGTGTAGCCACCTTGACGTCATTCGTGTTGGATGCCAACATTTTTTGCAACCCACCACTGTCCCAACTGTCCCAGTTTTGTCTTTTGGTATTTACCTAGCTGCATGAAGATAGTTATTTAAGTGCCAGAGCTGTGCCCAAAACAATAGAAATGTGATTTGTTTTCAACCAAAAATAGTTATATTGGCACTCGGGATGAGTGCTAATAGTTCTAGGTTGACAGAATCAAACCTGGACTATTCTAGCTCTTGATTTCCATTTATTGGCTATTTTGATTGTTGCGTTCAATTTACTTTGGCTTTTGCATTCATTTCATTTGAAGTACCGTATTTTCACGAGTATAAGCCGCACTGAAAATCCTAAAATTTGATCAAAAACCGTCAGTGCGGCTTATAACCCAGTGCGCTTTATATGTGAAAAAAGATCGAAAATCTCTCCCTCCCGATGCTCAAACTTGAAGCTCACAAGCATGCACACGTCCCTCGGGTCTCTCCCTTCAACCTCGCTACTTTCTGAGGCGGAGGCCGGGGGGCGAGCAGAGAGCCACCCAGCTCCCAGCCCCTATAGACTGGGCTGTTCCGTCACCCCCGCCGCCGCAAGAAGGGACGGCAGACCGGTGTTAAACGTAGCCTTCAG